CGCGAGGTTATTGTCTTTTATCGCGTGCAACTGGTTGAGCCGTTTCGTCTTACGCGCTTTGGACAGAGTTGGCCGGTGGAATACAGAGCAATGACACAATATGTGAAATGGTGGTGATGGTGACACCGACGATTTTGTACACCTTCTATTCTTTTACAGTTTCAAGGTATTTTGACGATTGTAAGTTCATTTTCCCACTTTGAAACGTGACACCTGAACCTTAACGGCGATGCCTCGCATGCACCGCTGCAAAGTAGAGAAAACTCGATGGAGGTGGCAATGAGGATTTTGTACACGAGCAAGTTGCGCTACAGATCGAGTTCTTGATGCTGGACTCTGCACGACGCTGGGTGGGACGAGGTAGCTCTGCTGTTGGCACGTCAAATCGAGGCGATGCGAGGCATTTCGGCCACTATGAGTGTCCTTAGAGTGTCGGGCTCTTACACGGAACGTTCTCAAAACTGTCCAAAACCGGGCAATGTTATTCGCTTGAAGCAAAGAACATCCCAAACGTGACGCGTGCAATTCATAACGACTGCGCCCTAAGACCACGTAGTACTGGGGCGCCTCTCTGAGACGAATGCGACTCGTACAAAGCGTGCCGGATACGTCGACAGTCGTGGCATGCAAGGTGTGGTTCGGGCTGCAAAGCATCAAGCTCCGTTGTCTCGTTCTCATGTCATTGAGCGCGATTCTCGTGGTGCCTAAGTGCACTGTTTTCACCCTACATTTCGCGGTATCATTCAAACCGACGAGGCTTTTCTACACTGCTGTGCAGAATCGTCGTCGGTTTGAAACCCATCCTAATAGACAGAGACGCGACGTCGTATTGGAAGGAGCATGACCCAGGCTTCATACGTCGTACGCCATACGACACAATCACAGGCGGGAGCGCGAGTGCAATGCCGGCCAAGACGGAGGGCCTCGCGACGGCGTTTGCGACCAAGCGTCTCACCTTGTCCGCAATCAGCTTTAATGTTGGCAACCTCCAACTCTTGTGTCGCGAGTCGCGACCCTAGAGTTAGTGCAGGCTTTTCGTTTGAAACACACCCGACGGCTTGCACTCCTCTGTCGGAGCTCTCTGTCGGGCGGTCCGAGTACAGGAGCCTGCGTACGACCTCGCGCGAGCTATGACTCAGCGAGTGGGGTTTACCACGGGATGGATCTCTCCGTACGCAGCTCACTCCCAACGACCCAATGCTGATGCCGACTCCCACGCATTCGGGCATAGAGAGCGCTACGAATGCGAAGTCTTTGTGGAATATGAAAAATATGAAGATAACGCGGAACACGTATATATATATATATATAAATACATAATATGACATGAAATGTTATGTAGCGTGTATATTGTCCAGCAATGTAGACGCTCGGCGGCGCCTCGAACGGAAGCTCGTTGTCGTCGGATCTTCAACAAGAATGCAGGTTGTAGAAAGTGCGTCGCTGGAATGACTGTCGCCGTCATACAATGGGTTTTGATTTGCATTTAGCTTGCTGTTTGTATGTGGACGTGATATATTTATAATAAAAAGACACGGCGGTCGACCAAAGTGCAAAGTCGAATTGGCAGCATGGCCCGCGCGTCGTTCGCCAAGCAGACACGGGTCCTCCTCTGGAAGAACGCGACGCTCAAGCGCCGGAACCTCCGCGGCCTGCTCGTCGAGCTCCTCCTGCCCGTGCTCCTGCTCTGGCTCTTGCGCTGGCTCGCGACGCTGGGCAGCGCGGCCGCCGGCGTCAACCACGTGCCCGAGGCCCGCAACACCGACGAGGCGCAGCCGCTTCCGACGCTGACGCTGCTGCCGACGCTGCTAGCGCGCTCTAACCGGGTGCTTGGCGTCACGTCGCCGCAAGCGACCGAGCTCATAACGTTTCTGGATGCTCGGTACGCGACGCCGCTTGGCCCGCGCTTTGGCGACGTCACGACGGTCTTTGCGTCCGAGCGCGCCATGAATGAGTACGCCAAGAAGTCCATGACGTCCAACACATCACGGCTACTGTACGCGGGCGTCGTGCTTGACGCCAACGTGGCGACCATTCGGCTTAGCGACCAAGCCACCGAGTCGAACGGCGCGGCGCCGGCCGATGGTGTCCAGCCCACATCCGACTTTGGCATTCTCGCGCAGCTCACGTTCAACAAGACAACCGCCATGCAGTACCCGGGCTTTTTGCCGCTGCAAATTGCGCTACATGAGTTTGCCGCTGGAGTGGCATTGCATGTCGAGTGCGACTGCCTGGCGCAAGACCTCGTCATCTCTGGGCTGCACTGGTCCGACATCGGTCTTGCCAGCGCCGCAAGCTGTGCGTCCTCAACATCCGCCTCGAGTTGGCTCTTTTCGCAGCCAGGCAGCGCCGTGCCGTTTCCAGAGGCCGCGCACGTCGATGTCCAAGACCCTGTGACACCGCAGATCATCATGTACCTCGTCTACCTCGGTCTCTGGCCCTTCTCGCGCTTTGTGCGCGACACGATCAACGAGAAGGAGACCAAAATGAAGGAGTACCTCTTCATCCTCGGCGTGCGCGAGTCGGCGCTCGTCTGCAGCTGGGTCGGCGTGTACTTTATATGTACGCCCTTGTCACGACGATCGCGGCTACCATGCTCTTCACCCACGTGCTCTTTGCGTCCGGCGGTCTAGTGTTTGGCCTCGTGTTCCTCACGTTCCTGCTCTCGGCCGTGTGCTTTGGCTTGATGGTCGTGCCGTTCTTTGACCGGGCCAAGACGGCGATAGGAATTGCGCCGCTGCTCTTCCTCGGGTGGTGCAGCCCGCTCATTGCGCAGCGCACAGGCCTCTCGAGCGATCTCTGGACGCTTCTTGGACCGTTGACGTCACCACTCGTGTTTTATAATGCGATGACGACGGCGCTCGGGCTTGGTGCCGACGGCAACCTCCGCGACGTGGCGTTCTCGCACCTCGCGCTGCCGTGGCTGACGCTGCTCCTGCATGCAGTCGTCTACGCCGTCCTTGGCGCGTATCTGGACCGTGTTTTGCCCAAGTCGATTGGAGTGCAGTCGCCGTGGCATTTTCCTTTCCACGCTGAGTTTTGGGTCCCCTCGACTTGCCCGTCCCGGCTAACCAAGACGAGTTACCATACGTTCACGCCCGTGATCGAGACGGCAAGTGATGACGCGCCGGTCGTCGACCTCGATAACGTCACCAAGGTCTATGACGATGGCAAGGTCGCGGTGCAAAACGTCTCGCTCTCGATTCCCGAAGGCGAGATTTTTGGGCTACTGGGCGCCAACGGTGCTGGCAAGACCACGACGCTCTCCATGCTCTCGGGCGCCCTTGCTCCAACGGACGGCACACTGCGCGTCTGCGGCGACCACGACATGACGCGCATCCGTCAGCATCTCGGCGTCTGCTTTCAGCAAGATGTGCTCTACGACTCGTTGACGATCGAAGAACATGTGCTCTTGCTCGAACAGCTCAAGGGCCAGGACGACTTGCGCTTGATCCGCGCCGAGTGCGAAGCCAAGTGCATTGCGTTTGGCCTTGGCGACAAGATTTATGCGCAAACATCGACGCTCTCGGGCGGTAGCAAGCGCAAGGTGTGTGTGCTGCTGGCGCTCCTCGGCGATGCCAAGCTCGTGCTTCTGGACGAACCGACATCCGGCATCGACGTCGACTCGCAAAAGCACGTGTGGGCTGCGATCCAAGGCGCATTGGCCGGCCGCGCCGTGCTTCTCACAACCCATGCGATGCACGAAGCCCAAGTCCTTAGCCACCGCATCGGTATCATGGCCAACGGCGAGCTCCACTGCGTTGGCACGAGCGGGGCCCTCAAGGACAAATACGGCGTCGGCTACAAGCTCCACGTTGTCAAGGCGGCACGCGACGCCGGCGACAAGGTACGTATCGCCTTGGCGTCCGTGCCCGGCGCGAGCGTCCTCCGCGACCACAAGTGGGGTCTCGACTGCCAACTGCCGCTCGGCACGGAAGCGTCGATTCCGGCGCTGCTTCGAGCGCTGGATGCGCTTCAAGCGAGTGGCGTCCTGGAGACGTACGACGTAGCCACGACGACGCTCGAGGACGTCTTTGTCAAGATTGCCTCGGGCGATACGGCCATTCAATCGGCTGCCGCAGCGACGCCCAAGGCGCTCAACGACTCTGCGAGTATGACGCGGCCAGAAGCCCACAAGTACGCGGCGTGGCGCGTGTGTCTGACGCAGATTTGTGCGTTGATGCGCAAGCGGGCGGCCCTCGTTCGCCGAGACGTCCGCAACACGTCGAGCCAGTACCTCTGGCCGCTGCTCGTGTTTGGTGTACTTTCGTACCTCCTCGTGCAAGCCGGCAAGGCGAGTGACGATGCCGTGCCCGCCCTCGCCGCGCCAATGGTACTGGCGACGACAAAGGTGCTGCCCTCACTGCCGCCACCGTCGCTTCTCGGCCCGAACGTGACCTTGGGCGGCGTCGTCGACTACCTCTTGGCGCATCCGGGGGGCACCGGTGCGCTCTTTGTCGATACGACGTCGCATGCGATCTTTTATAATGCATCGGTCCCCGGTGCCCTGGCGGCGACGATCCAAGCCGTGTATGCGTCGGCCTGCACATTGCCGTCGTGCGCACTGGCGGTGCACGCGCGTCCGCTCGAGATGAAGTCGTTTGCCGGTGCGGAAGCCTTTGTCCTCAGTGACGTGCTTGGCGTCGTCCTTGCCATGTACCTCATTGGCGCGCTTGTGTTTGCTGCGACACCGCTCACGACCGGTATCGTCAAGGAACGGGAGAGCGGGCTCAAGCAGTACCAGCATTTCTGCGGCGCTTGGCTCTCGACGTACTGGGCTGCCCACCTCCTCTTCGATCTCGTGGTCTTTAGCGCCTTTAGCCTCGTGCTCGTGCTTTGGTGCCAGTACCTCGCGTACATGGCCCTCGTTCCAATTCCAAACCTCGGCGCCTCGGCCCTCTGTGTGCTACTGGCCGGTGTTGCGATCGTCCCGTACATGTACTTGCTCAGCTTCCTCTTTGGCTCGTCGACGTCGGCGCACACATTTGTCTCGTACGTTGGCACGTTCCAGCTGCTCTTTGCGCCCATGACGCTCCTGCTCTCGAGTCTCACGGACGCGTGCACAACCTATGCGACCCTCTCGCCGTGGCTGCACGCCGCATTCCCGCTCATCTCGCTCGGCGAGACACTGGTCAACCTCGCGACGACCGAGCTTGCGTTCGTGCGGGGCATGTGCACGCAGGCCTCGGTGCTCGAGACGCCGTCGAGCCTTTTGAATGCGTATCTGTGGCAGACCCTTCTGGCGGGACCGTGCTATGCCGTCTTGGTGCTTGGGATCGATGCGTTTCTGACGTACCCGGCGGCGATGCGCCACGCGCTGCGCTGCGCCACCCACCCGACGCGTGGTACGTGGTTCGAACCCGAGATACCGCTGTGGTTCAACGACGTTTCGTTTTTGTAGCGGCCGACGATGTCGAGACGGGGACGGCTCCCATTGTGCAAGTGTCGGGCCTCGCCAAGACGTACGTTGCGTCCTTTTGGCGTCGCGCGACGGCGCAGGATGTCCACGCCTTGTACGCGCTTGACTTTGCCGTCGCACCCGGGGAGAGCGTCGCGCTTCTCGGTGTCAACGGCTCGGGCAAGTCGACCACGTTCCAGATGCTCACAGCCGGCGTGACGCCGACGGCCGGCGAGGCCACTGTCGGTCCATGCAACGTGTCGACGGACGCACCCCACGCGCGCGACTGGATGGGCTACTGCCCGCAGCCCAACTGGCTGTTTGACAACCTCAGTGTCCGTGAGCACCTGCAGCTTGTGTGTTCGCTGCGCCTCCAGGCACCCGATACGATCGAGACGGTGATTACGGCGCTGCAGCTCAACCCGGTCGCGGACCTTCGCACGGCCAAGTTGAGTGGTGGCAACAAGCGCCGGGTCATGATTGCGATGGCAGTCGTCGCCAAGCCGCCGGTGCTGCTTCTCGATGAACCGTCGGCCGGCGTCGACGTGGTCGCCCGGCGGCTCCTCTGGCAGCTGCTCCGCGACGAGGCGTGTCTCTTCACCACGCACTGCCTCGAAGAAGCCGAGGCGGTTTGCACAAGCGCCGTCGTCCTCGCCAAGGGCAAGCGCGTCTACCGCGGCTCGATCGCGGCGCTCAAGCAGCAAGTTTCGAAAGGTGTGACCATGCAGGTGACCTTTTGCGATCCGCTCGCCTCGGATGACGTACAAGCGGCGCTGAGTGCAAACGACGTGGCGTCGGCCCAGGCACTGCTCGGTACCTTCGCCGACACAACCTCGTCGACGGCGAGATCAAGACCTCCAAGACGGGTCGAAAGACGACGTACCTCGTCTCAGCGGCGTCCATGTGGCGCGTCCTTCTCGCGCAGCCCGACGGCACCAAGGCCCGCATCTGGCTTCGGCTAAGCCAAGCGCACAAGTCGTTCTTGGCGAGCATGGCGAAGCGGCAAGCTGAGCCTGCGATCGAGCTCCCGACGAAGAAGCGGACCCAGTATGATGCCTTTATATGTCTTGTGCTCATGCTCTTTCTCGTAGGTCCGAATCGGCAGCTCCGCTCGAGTCGCCCGCGGCGAAGCGCATGAAGTACAATCTCCCTGCATGTCGTTCGGCTCATGGACGTTTTCGAAGGCCCGACATGCCGCAATCATATGCGAAGACCGAGATCAAGTCAATCACGTTGTCCATCCGATGCTCATGCTCTTTCTCTCGTAGGGACGAAGGCGCGGAGGTCGCGTTTACGTTTGTGACGCCGCCCCTTCCAGCCAAGCAGACGAAGTACACATCGTCGATAGTTGTCTTGTGCATATGCATGTTCTCGTAGGCCCAAGAAAAAGCCCGCGGCTTCGTCACCGCCCCGCAAGTCGCCGCCAGTGCCCGTGACCCCGGGGCCGACGCCAAAGAAGGTCGACCGCCCAAAGTGGCCAACGCAGCGCGCAGTGGTGAGCAACTACACGACGTGGGCATGTATTCTTATTACTTTTTTCTAGACATTCATGCACGCGTCGCCTTACCTTGTCGAGATGCTCGACGGCGAGCAGATGAAATGCCCGGTACGGCTCTATGCCAACGGCATTCTTTGTACTCAAGCCACTATATAGCAATCGGACACCGACACCGAGTACGATGCGGTCGTCGCAGGCTTGCGACAAGCCAGCGTACGCAGCATGCTCCGCATGTGGCATCTGATACGAGTTTTGTGGTTTCAGCAAAGAGCGCGACAGACAACGCGCCGTACGACGCCCGCTGGTGTCAACATGCACTGATGCACATCGTAGCCGTCGCTGTGCGCCCGATTTTGGCGACGCGCGCGAACCTCATGCTTGTCGAGGACGATGACTGCAACGTGCTCCACTTTTCCGGTCATGGTACGAGTGACGCTGCGCTTTTGTTTGAGGCTGACGACGTGTCTGGCGACTTGGTTTACGTCGAGCAAATGGCGGAATACTTCAAGTCGTCCCCGCCACGACTTGTCGTTCTCCTTGCGTGCCACTCGGAGAAGATGGGTACGTTCATTTGCACATCTATGCCTGAAACTTGTGCTAGCTCCCGCATTCTTGGCGGCCGGGGTCAAGCACATAATATGTGTGAGCTCGGACTGGGCCATGACTGAAGACGCGGTGAACGTCTTTGCTCAGTAGGATCCCATGGTACTCTCGATATGCAGTCTTCTCTGCGTCTTGACTAGGTCGCTCTACAATGTGCTTGGGCGCGGACGCGGAATCGACGACGGCTTTGCCAAGGCGAAATCCGACGTCAGCAGAGCCAACATTCACGACGCAGAAGTGGTGTGAATCGCGACCATCAAAACTGGTGTCATTCAGCTCGATACAGGAAGCGGACCACTTTGTCCTCTTGCCGCGTGGCGCCGACCACTCCACGGTCATCTTTCCCGCGGCGTGTGACGACTCGGACGTTCTTCCCGGGGACCCGTTCCCACGGCTTCGTGCTGACAAGCTCCCAAAAGAAGTCCAGGCGCGTCGACCTCGTACTCTTTTGCATTCTTTCTCACGACGATCGACTGAGTAGGAGTACAAGGAGCGCCAACTCGAAGAAGGATTGGTTCAAACACAACGAAAGTGATGACGCAAGGAGCTCAGCTGTTTTTGTTCGCAGATCTGCAGTCGCTTGGCCAGTCGGAAAGCCCGCGTCGCTTGGCTTCATGGCCCTCGTGATGCCGGCAAGACGCAACTAGCATGCAGCGCTGCCCGCGCGCTGCAGATCAGCCGTGTCTTTGCGCGCGGTATCACCTACGTCAGTGTTCAAGACATCGCTGCGCCGAGCCCTGGCGTCGCAAACAACGCTGTCCTCGATACGCTTAAGCTCCAAGTGGATGCTTGGCTCGCGGCGACCGCCGACCGGTCTGTATGGAAGCAGCGGCGATCAAATTGCTTATGCTGCTTGCGATTAGGTCTTCTGAGCCCAAAGCCGCGACTCTCATCGTGCTTGATGGCGTCGACGCGCTCGTATCGTCGCCTGCTTTTGTTGACTGGCTCGACAAGATGTGCTTTTACGAGGCGTATGCGCACTTTCTCCTCACGTCACGCGCCATCTCGCCGCACGTCGGCGCGTTCAAGAACCCGAGTAGCGTTCACCCGATCGCGATTGCGTGCCACACCACACTGGCACTGGACACGCCCTGCCGCCGCCGCATCGACCCACTGTACGGCTTTGCCAGCAACACCAACAACGCATCGGTCAAGACCGAAGCTATCTAATCGACGCGCGATAAGCAAACAAATTTAGTGTACTTTTAGGCTTTCTGTTTGTTTGGGGTCATTCGTCAATGACGTTGGTCGAGTTGGAGAGCGCACACGAAGAGTCACAGGATCCTACAAGATGTATTAGGTGTCGATACACATGTCATTCGTGAGCGAGTATGGGTCGTCGACGTTGCGCATGTCGCGCAAAGCATGCTCCATGACAAGTTGGCAGCGTCGATAGTCGACAGGATCGTAAAGGGTCCTGCGCGAGGCCCATGTAACTTGCATGCCCCATCTTTGATTAGCTGTGCGAGGCGGCTGCAGCCAATCGTACTGCAAGCGTCATCATCATCAAGGAAGCCACCGACTATGCCATGCGTCGAACCGTAAGCTGCTGGGCACAACACCGTTTTACTGTCATGCGTTGTTGCTCAATCACTACCGCGTAGCAGTAGCGTGTGCGCCAACCCTACCCCGCATAGGGCTAGGTTTCGTACCGAGAAGGTATGGCCGTCTGGAGGTCGCCGGTGTCGATCTTGGAGCCATGCCGCAGCAGCGGCGCGTCGAATAGTACCATTATACTAGTAGTCGAGATGTGCTCAAACGAGTTGGATGCAGCCAAATTGACTCGCCAGACAAAGATAACCGAGGGAAGCTCATGCGGTGCATGACATTCTTGGTAACCGTCGCCCCGGCTAGCGACACCTTGTGCTGCGTTTCGCGAGGCATGCTCGACGAATTCTACGCAGGCAAAGAGCGTACAGCTTGTCAAAGATGACGCCTAGCTGATCTCACTTGCTTTGCCTCCAGCTCCCACCCAGGCTCCCACCCATTGCCAAAACTGATCCGCGGCAACCGGAAGGATATCCGGTTGACGTGGGGCTTTGCGAAGCGCAGTCAGTGTACATTATTCTGGTCGGCCAAGCCATGCGCCCCCGTGGACTTGCCCGAAGGCAGGCGAGTCCAACGCCCGGTACGCTTTATGCTAGCGTTTCCATGTACTCAAGGCATTGTAGCGCAAGCGGACGTATGATGCGGTTCTCGCAGGCTTGCGACAAGTCAGCCTTCGCGACGTTGTACGACGCAAATTCCGCGTATGTTATCTGATGCATTTTTATGGCTCTACTAGGTTGTCGCCGTGCGGCCCATTCCGATGGCGCGATGGGTCCGAAGGAGTCGCAAAAGCTGGGAGCAAGGTCACGCGTTTCACGACCAAGAACCCGCAGGCGACGATGGCCGGCGTCGCGCGCTTGGTGACTTCGGACGAAGGCTTGTCCAAGGCAGACGTTGACGCATGGGTCGGCTTCGCGACACTGCCGCCGGACGAGGTGGTTGACGCTGCCGTAACACTCGGGGATCTGGGTGTCCTCCTCACCAAGAAGGCCAACAACTCGGAGTCGGTCAAGCGCGCGATCTCGGTTCTCAGCGACGTCGGGGTCAAGACCTCGAAGAAGGGCCGGAAGACGCTCTACCACGTCTCGGCCATGGCGATGACTTGCGTCATCTTGGCTCTGCCCGAAGTTCACAAGGCTCGTCGGACGCTGCTCAAGATCAAGCAGGCCTTTCGGACATTCTTGACGCACAAGACAGCCCTTCGATCCCAGCCTGCGATCGAGCTCCCGACAAAGAAGCGGACGCAGTATGACGCCTTTGTATGTCTTGTGCTCATGTTCTTTCTCGTAGGTCCGAGCCGGCAGCTCCGCTCGAGTCGCCCGCGGCAAAGCGCATAAAGTACGATTTCCCTGCATGTCGAGCACTCGTTGACGTTTTCGAAGGCCCAACATGCCGCCAACACATGCGTGCGAGACCGACGATGGGTACGTTCCTTTGCATCTCGACACGCTCCATGACTTAAACTATTGCATGTCCTAGCTCCCGCGTTCCTGGCAGCCGGAGTGAAACACATAATCTGTGTGAGCTCGGACTCAAGACGCGGTGACTGTCCTTGTACAGTTTTATTGCTATGCGTCTTGACTAGGTTGTTTCCACTGTGCGGGCGCAACGTCAACGAGTGTTACTGCTGCGAAAGCGACATTGGGACACCCAGCATTGCCGGCGCACACAAGGTCGCGACCACCTCGTCTGCACGGTCAATGCTGGATGTACCGACGTCGTCTTTCGCATCGGGGACGCTTGTCGACGTTGCGTCCGCCTCAAGCACATTGGGTGCGTTCCGGCTGCCCGGGCAAATGAGACGCCATGCCCCGCGTCTTCTCCTTCGCGTCGACGAGCTTCCGGAAGAAGCCCACGTGCGTCTACCCCGTACGAGTTGCATTCTTTCTCATACGTATGGACTGCATAGGAGTCCAATGGCGCCAACTCGATGAAGGACTCATTTGTCGAGAACGATGACGCAAGAAGCTTCGTTGTATTGGTACGTAGATCTGCAGTCGGTTCGCCAACCCGAAACCTCGCGACGCTTGGCTGCATGGGTCATGCAATGCCGGTAACTCACGCAACGTGCAGCGCAGTTTGCGAGCCGGAGCTCGGAATCAGCGCAAACTGCGATAATAAGCAAAACATTTAGTGTACTTGGTGGTTCTTGTGTGGCGTCTTTCGTCGAGTACATTAGTAGAAATGTCAAAGCGCAGCCTTGGCTCTTGGGTTTCAAACGCATGAGGCTCTCATTTGCGCAGGAAGCACACCGCCAACTTGAAATTGTTTAGAACATGTTTTAAACAGCCGCAGTCGGCATACAAAAACCAAGATGCACGAAACGGTATTTTTGTATGCAAGCGCCCAAAGCGGCCGCGCCAAGGTCGGTTCCGAGCACGTTCTTCATGGCGTTCATTCCAGCTTTCGATCGGTCATGAGCAAGAGAACCTCCGCGGGTGACCTCCACACGACGACGGCCGGCGTCGCGCGCCTGGCCCTCGACGACCGCCATGCCCCGACGCCCCAGGCGACGACGCTCGACCGCCATGCGACGACGCTCGATGCGACGATGGGGGGCATCGCGCGACTTGGCCTGGGAGACGAGGAAGAAGCGCGTCCCGCGCCTGCGCTTGAAGCACCGCGAGCGAAGAGAGCCAAGTAGGGCGTCGAGATGCATCTCCTCTGTCCTTGATGAACCTCCTCATAGGTCCGAGCATGTGTCCTCGATCAACGCAGCGCCGACCCAGTACCCCTCGTCCGAGCCTCCAACGCGACGCCTCGTGGTATGCTTCTATACCTTCTCATTGCTCGCCATGACACTATCGTGTCTAGACGTTTCTGCACGCATCGCCGTTCATGCTGGCAGGACCCGACGGTGCAGTGACCAAGTGCAACGTACGCATGCTCATCGATCTATGAGGGTTCTGAGGCCCTTTTTTAGCGCATCGACGTTGCTGCCAAGTACGCGGCAGTCGTCAGCAAGCCCCTGGTTGTATTTTCGCTTGCACTACATTGTACGTCTCGATATTGTCTCCTTCTCAAGTGATGGCATGTTTCTTGATGGTAGAATGGATATCAAGCCACGGAGCACCGTACGACGCGCGATCCTCTCTCCTCAATGTTGATTTCCGATGTATCGTAGTTGTGGCCGTGCGCTCGGATGTGGCCACCCGCGCGATGATTTCTTCTGACAATGGATATGCGTAGGCGTACAAGGAGCGCCAACTCGTAGAAGGACTGGTTCGAACAAGTCTAAAGACACTGAGGCAAGGAGCTCATCTGTTTTGGTACATAGATCTGCAGTCGTTTGGGCAGTCGGAAACCCGCGTCGCTTGACTTCATGGCCCCTTGATGTCGGCAAGACGCAGCTGGCCTACAGCGCTGCCCGCGCGTTGGAGCTCGGCCGGGCTTTTGTCCGCGGCGTCAAGTGCATTCACATCAAGCACATCACGGAATCTTGCGCCGACACTGTCCTCGATGCGCTCGAGCTCCAAGTGGATGCTTGGCTCGCGGCGACCGCCGAACCGGTATGTATGGAAGCAGTGATGAGCAACCTTCTTAGGTTGATTGCGATTAGATCGTCTGAGCACAACGCCGCGACCCACATCGTGCTCGATGGCGTCGACGCGCTTGTGTCGTCGCGTGCTTTTGTTACCTGGCTCGACAAGACGGGCACGGACGAGGAGCATGTGCACTTTCTTCTCACATCGCGCGCCGTTTCGCCGCACATCCGCAAGGTCAAGGACCTGCACCGCGTCCACCAGATCGAAATTGCTTGCCACACGACGCTGGCACCAAGCACATACCGCTACCGCTACCCCATTAAGACCCGGACGGCATTTTGATGTGCCCTTGCATACCGCCACCATGCGTGTATGAGTATCGTTCTACTGAGTCATGAAATAGTCATTCTTCAAAGCGCTGCAGCGACTGATTGATTCATCCGGAATAGGTACGAGGAGCAAGGCTGCCCCTCGGAAGATACCCCGCAATTCCGGTCGCTTGAGGTTGTGAAAAACGGTAGCTTTCCAAGCGTCGTTTCGATCGAAATATCCATGATATCCACCTCGAGCATGTACGACGACGTCGACGAAGAGCTCGCCAAGTCGACGTACTTGGGTGTGCCTGCAACGCCCCGCGAGAACGTCTCTTCTGCTGCGGCTTCGTCGCGACTGAGCACGATCGTCTTTGCCAACTGCCCCAAGGCGCACGCGTGCGGCGTTCAGCTTGGCACAACGATTGTGTTCTTGAGCCTCTTTTCTATCGCGCAGACGTACGTCTGGGACCGCTCGGCGCCCTTCTTCGCCGCGACGTCGCTCCTCCTCTGCTCGTACGAGTTCTTCTGGCTCGCCCACCACAGCACGCGCACCCTCACTGCGTCGCTCGACCCTGACCAGTCGCCCAGTACGCCTCTTTGCCTCCAAAGTTGCGATTCCATTGTTTGTAGATGCCACGGATTCGTGCGGCCAAGCGCTCGCCGACCGCTTCTTTGGCGGGCGCCTCATCCTCGTGAGCCTTCTCGCCGGTGCGATTGGTGGTAGCGCCTACTATGGTTGTACGTGGTATGGCTTTAACGTACTCAACTCGGTACGTCTGCATTCACGAGGACTTACTGGATGACATGCAATTGGAATCTAGTCGAAAGGCGTCATGTACCCGCGGACGATCAAGGCGCTGGGGACCTTTACGGGCGGCGGGTCGGGGCTCTTGAGCGTTTACTGTCCGTCGTGGTCGGCCGCCGTGACGCTCATTTGCTTTGGCGCGTTCTTCGTCTGCGTCAGCATCGATGCCATTGCCTACCAAGCGTCGCTTCTCTCGCACAAGTTTGTGATGGACAATGGTGAGCTCTACGCGCAGGTACACACACATGTACTTTCTAGAGAGCCGCACGACGTTTGATTAGGGTGGGAGCCTTATCATCGCCCTCATGCTTTTCAATCCCGCACCGCCGATCGTGTCGCTCATCTTGATTTGCCACCACCTCGTCGGCTTCATGTACATTTTCGGCTGCTGCAGTGCGATCTCGGGCTACATTGAGCACCTGCACCAGACGTTTGCAGTCAACTTGCTCAGCGGCGTCCTCATTGCAACGATCGGCGCGTCGTTTGCGCAGTACCTCTGGCACCGCTGCCTGGAGAAATCGGGCGGACCCTGGCGGTGCAACATCCCCTTCGTGCGCTGCCTTGGCGCCGACTCGCCGCGCCTTTTCGAGATCCTCGCGAGTTGCCTCGGAGGCATCCTCGGCATGTTCTTTACGACACTCTACGTCGATATTGTCGGGTCTACGAGCGCCAACGTCGTGTACACGGGCGGCGCAATAATCTTTGCGAACCTCGGAAGACCGTTCCTAGGTGTGCTCAAGCAGGTTGCTGGCGACACGCCACCGCGCGGCATCTTCGGCGCCCACGGCGGCCTCCTCGACGGCCTTCAGCTCTTCTTACCGCTGATCCTGGCCTTTTCGCCATACTACCGGGTGTACATCGGTAGCACAGACCCCACTGGCAATGGCACGCTTCGCAATTAGCGACCGACGTCGTATCCTTCGAGAAAAATGTATGTTTTGCTATCAACAATAAGTGTCTGTTGTTATGTCTCTATGCACATATATACTATCGATCAGTGAAGGCTAGACCACGTGCTCGGCTTTGGATGTTGGCGGGTACTTGACCAAAAGACCTACCTAGAGGCGCAGAGCGAGGTGAAAGCTTGCACACACAGTAAGAAGCTACCTGCACGAGTCCGACGAGTGTGCTAATGGCATTGGGAAAGACAACGACCATGTCGTCAAGCATGAGGCCATACAGCGCCCAGACGCCGCCCGCCAGAACGTTCATGATCTACCCAGTCTTAGCATTGACAGCATATTTGCTTGGACGCGTACCGACATGCCTACGGGAAGGCACGAAGCGTCTCGGCGGCGAATGATGTCGGGCAGCTTGGACAGCGGCGAGACTGCAGTCAGCACCATGACGATATTGCCTGCATGGGATTTAGCATCGTTGAACTGGAGAGGCTCGTTCGTACCTGGGATGCCAATGAGCACTTTGGCTTCGTGCGTCGGCTTGACCATGGCGCCGTGCAGCAAGAACACGTACAAGAGCGCGCCAAGAAGAAGGTGCCAGCGCGCCAGGCGCTACAAAAGCTTGCAAATTGGTTACCAAACTGTTTCAGTACCTTCTCGAGCGTGTATGTATAGTAGATGGCCACGTAGTACGCGCCAAGGACGGTGCCAACGGTCGTGGTTGTCTGGAGCAGGCGATTCGATGTCACGAGCGCATACAAGAGGAAGAGCGCCGACTGCAGGAGGTAAAAGAAGAACGGGCCGAACGGCAATGTCAGCGTGCTCTTGGCCGCGCGGATGCGCCGGATATCTGGCAGCGGCGCCACGGCGAAGAGGAGGCTCGAGAGCACGGCGATGTACGGGATCATGGTCTGCCCCATAGCCACCGAGAGCGCGGTCCAGTCGGCAGCCGTATCGACGAGCGCCTTGGCCGTCATCTGCAAAATGCTGTTGTCCCGTCCACCCTTCAACGTCACGATCCCTGCAAATCCATGCTGCAAATCTTCGATGCTGTCGATTGATTGGGTATCCGGATAAGAAAGAGCCAATCAAACGCGCCAATAGCTCTCATTTTCGAAGCGGCGCGGATGGGCCATCGCGAGAAGGAGTACTCGGCGCTCGACCTCGTACGTGGCAGCCTCTGCGCGCAGTATGCTCACGACCGACGTAGAAGGCCGGCGAGGTGCAGGTCGAGGTCTTTGTCGCTGGCGACGGCGTCAACTACCCGCGCAAGGGCCAAACGGTCGTTGTGCACTACACGGCCTACGTACGTCGTCTTGGACTTCAGTTGCATGACCAGGTGCATTCGTAGCTCCAAGATGGCAAGAAATTCGACTCGTCGCGCGACCGCGACAAGCCGTTCAAGTTTAAGCTCGGCGCCGAGCAAGTGATTCCGGGCTTGGACGAAGGCATCGAGCGGGTGCGCGATGCTTTGTCGTGCGGGCACCAGCTCATGGCGGTGTAGCTGTGCATGAAGGAGCGCGCCAAGATCTATATTCCTGCCGACAAGGCGTACGG